TGATCCGCCAGTTCCTCGAAACACTACTTTACTGTTGAATACTGAAGGCCGGCTTGTCTTGCAATCAACACAAGGCCAAGTTACTGATATCGCGAAGAAGATTTCCGGCATGCCTCTTCTGCTTCCATGCTTGACTCTGGAAACTTTGTGCTTTACACTATACTGGAGGAATAATAGGGCAGAGTTTTGATTACCCAACTGATACTATTTTGCCAACTCAACGTCTTCTGCGGAAAGATTGTTTTCCAAGTGTTTCAGAAACTAATCCTTCCACGGGGAAATTCCGTCTTAAGATGCAAAAGGATGGAACTTGTTGTGCAGTACCCAACGCATACTGATGACACAGCTCCATATGCCTATTGGGCGTCCGGTACTACGGGCACGGTGATAACGTGACACTAAACCTTGATGTCGATGGCCTCTTTACCTGCTTAACGCCACTGGCTGGAATTAAAGAATATTACACAAGGGTATCCAACAGGGGGTTTAATCTATTTGATGAGAGTTGATTCCGATGGGATATTTCGATTATATTCACACAATTTGAAACAAAATGGTACATGGTCAGCTTAGGAATCTTCGAAAATAGTGTGATCCTATGGGTCTGTGTGCATTAACAGCTTTTGTCTTATAATGTACAAAAAGCTGATTGTAAATGTCTTCCAGGATTTGCCTTTGTTAACCAAGGCAATCGAACTTCTGGGTGCGCTAGAGATTTCACTGCAGAAAGTTGCAGCGGCAGGTGTGGACCTGTCAAATTCAAGATTCAACGATTGGAGATACTCTGTGGGAAGATGTTTCATATTTTGATCTGTCAGAAACAACCAAGAAGACTGTCAACAAGCATGTTGGGCGACTGTAATTGCGAAGCTGCGCTCTTCAAGGGCGATGATCGTGAGTGCAAAATGCAAAGGCTTCCTTTGAGATTTGGGAGAAGAGATATGGGCAGTGGATCAAACAACTTGCTTTCATCAAGGTAGGAATTGCATCCTCCGATGGTGACATTGCCCCCAAGAGAGAGAAAACGCCTCCGAAAGGATTTGATAATTTTATTAAGTGTATTTGGTGCTTTATATTTGTTATTTTGGCAACCTCCGGGATTTTCATTCACAGATATCAAGTCTGGTCATACCGAAGAATTCCTGGAAATGGTATTTCAGGTTTTGTGAGGACATTGCTCCATATCATTTAGTTTTCAGAGATTGAAAAACTAACTGATGATTCAAGGAAGAGATTGGCAGAGGATCTTCAGGTATAGTTTAATAAGGGACTATGATGCATTGCAAAAATTTGTAGCTGTCAAGAAATTAGAGAAGGTGTTAGCTGAAAGGGAGAGGGAATTTCTGACTGAGATAATAATTGGAGAACCCTATAGGAATCTATTCGTTTGCTTGGTTATTCCTTTGATGGACCCAACAGGTGTTGGTATACGAGTACATGAATGGTCTCTCGCTGATCTACTCTTCACACCCGAAAAAAAACCATATTGGATCGAAAAATGGCATTGCTTGCGATATACAAGAGGGATTCTCTATCTGCACGATGAGTGTCAAACGCAAATCATCTATTGTGACATAAAACCTCACAATACTCATGGATGAAATAGGTGTGCGAAAATTGCTGACTTTGGATTGGCGCTATTGAAGCCAGACCAAACTAACACTTTTACCGAATAAGAGGAACAAGATAGGTTGCACCAGAATGGCATCGAAATCTACCCGTGACAATAAAGCGATGTGTATAGTTTTGGGTGATTTTGTTAGATCATATGTTGTCGAAGATGTATGGACCAAAACTTCCAGAGGATCAAATTATTCTTGAAGATTGGGTTTACCAATGTTTCGATGCTGGTGAGTTGAGGCAACTCATAGCAATGAAGAGGTTGATCTAAAGCAATTGGAAAGGATGATCAAAGTTGCACTTTGTGCATTCTTGATGAGCCATCACTGCGTCCTTCGATGAAGAAAGTTTTACTGATGCGGGAAGGAACTGTTGACATTCCATTCCTCCAAATCCTACTTCTTTTTTAACTTGCATCTGAAACCTAGAAAAGAATGTAACTCAATAGATTTTCCATTTACATTTACTTTTAGTTTTGCTTATTTCAAACTTATTATGTAATTTAAAGAGTGGATTTATGTTCCACTTCATGTCATTTAATAATCTTCATTCTTTTCTTGTGAATCTAGAAATAATTAATTTTAACTTTATTCATACAACTTTTGGCTACGGAATAAATAGACTAGCTAACATAAACATTGGTCTTGAATGTAACTTTTCTACTGGATCTCCTAGAAATTTATAAGGGCTTATTAAAACCGTTTAGTTCATTGGTGACTAATATGATGGTCACTTGAGACTGATTCGGTCGTTAACTTCTGAATCTTGAAAGATTAGTTGAAGTACACGTAAACTGATTCAAACACCCTTGATAAAGAAAAAAAAAAAGGTTTGTTCTCCTAAATATCGATTCGACTATTCAATTTATTTTAATATACCTTTAGTTTTGGATTGTCAAGGCTTTTTTTTTTTTTTTAATACCATATAATATTTACATCGTGCTTCATTGATTTAATGTTACTTGTTATTATTCATATTTCTCGTGATGGGTAAGACTTATTACATAAACTCTTTTTAGATGTTAATTTATAGTTTTAGTAATACCAATCATCTCAAATATATCTCAAATTAACCTCCCAAACGATCTATCAATATATAGATATTGTCATATTACTTAATACATTATTACTTTATTTACATGTTAATGCGGCATTTTGGGAAAGAGTATTATTTTATTTTTTTTTATTTACAGTTTCTCCTCATGCCCTGAAATTTACCCAACCAAAAATTAATAGAGATTAAAAAATGTCATTGCCCCAAAAAATTCAGGAAAAGTTTTAATGCACAGACACTTCACCCACGTGTTTCCAGGGTTATGCTAGAATACTAAAAAGACTTGTTGACTGGAGTGAAGACTTCTGTCTTCTAATACTCTCAAATCAAAGGCAATGGAACCTCCTAACACGGCTCCATTTAATCACATATAATAGCAGCCCAAATAGACAGGGCTAACCTAATCATATAATCCCAAATACCTGAGTCCACAAAGTGAAAATTCCTTAGAGGTGCACTCCATTTTTATATTGCCTGAAAGACCAACAAATTTTCCACTAACATGAGCCACCCAATAAATAATCACATAGAATGTCACTTGTTTGTTCCTAAAGGCACAAAATCTTTTGACTGGTCTCACTACTTTGTAAATACCAATTGGGAAAAGCAAAGGCCACATATAATAATGTGCTCCCACTGGTACTAAATGAACTTATTTATTCATTCACTTCTCAGGATTCTAACAAGGCGATAACTCTACAAAAATGGTTGTTGTCTTACTTTTAGTTCTGCTCTCTGCAAAATTTGTAGCACTCAACAGCAGCTTAATAAGTCTGGGTTCTTCTCTAACACCCACCGGAAACTCCTCGTGGCTGTCGCCTTCTGGTTTATATGGTTTTGGATTCTATCAGCACCGTGGATGGGTTTGCGGTGGAATCTTTATTGCTGGAATAGCTCAGAAGACTGTTGTTTGACAGCGAATCGCAACAACCCCCAGTTCCAGCTGATTTACCTTGACCTTACACGTGCTGGTAGATTCATTCTACAATCACGAGAAGGCCAGAGACATCCATTGTGAGATTTTCTAAACCTGCTGCAAGAGCATCTATTCTTGATTCAGGGAATTTATTCTCTACAATTCTGATGAGAAGATATATGCAGAGTTTTGTACACCCCACTGATACACTGTTACCAGTCAACGACTCTTAGCAAGGCAACAGTTGGTTTCAACGTTTCGGAAACCAATCAATCAACCGGAGCTTCCTGCTTGATGCAGAAGGATGGAAACCTTGTCCAGTACCCAACAGATAATCCAGACGAGCAAACTTTATTGGCTATCTCATACAGCTGGAAGTGACAATGTGTCATTAAACCTGGCTGTCGTGGCCACCTTTACCTGCTCAATTCAATAGGTTCAATATAAAAATCTTACACCAGGAGGCTATTCTACAGAAGAAACAATCTATCTGATGAAAATTGATATTGATGGGCTTCCGACTCTATATAATTAATCAGAACAACAATAGGTCAATTGTATGGCTCTTCTCAGATGATAAGTGTTCACCCAGGCCTTTGTGGCCCTAATGATATTGTGTTCAAAATGATCAAGAAATCAGGTGTCAATGTCTTCCAGGATATGCACCATTAAAGAGGAGCCAACTTCGGGCTGTCAAAACATTTTCTCACCAGAAAGTTGCAATAGCACGGATGAAATATCAAGTACAACATTGAGACAGTTGCTAATATTTCGTGGGAGGATAGTGAAATATCCAATCTGAAATCACAATCCAAAGATGATGTGAACAAGCATGTTTGAAAGATTGTTCCTGGAACTGCAATGTTCAAAGATGGAAAATGTACAAACAGAAACTTCCCATGAGATACGGGCACCAACAGAAGGGAAATTCAAACATAATCCTAATCAAGTAGTTAATTTAACATCGGCATTTGCCCTCAAAGGAGTGCTGCCAATAAAGGAAGCAAAAAAGACATCAAACAGATATCTTAATTGTAAGTGTTTCACGGACTGCTTTTACATTCACTATTTTGACATTTGTTGAGTCCTCGATTACAGACCGAGTTTGCAAATATAATAGCATTTGCGCTAATGATAAATTCCACTAGAAGAGGATGTTGGTCCAAAATCATTTACTTACTCAGAACTATTGAACGCACTAACAATTTCAATGAAGAGGTTGGTAGAGGAGCATTTGGGACAGTTTCAGGAGGGAAACATCTCACAATCAGAAGGCTATAGCTGTTAAGAGATTGGACAGAGTTTCAACTGAAGGAAAAAGGGAATTTCAGACTGAGATGAAAGCAATTGGAAAAACTCATCACCGGAACTTAGTTCGACTACTTGGCTACCGCCACGAGGGGCCACAGGCTGTTGGTATAAGAGTACATGAGCAATGGTTCACTTGCATCTGCTATTTACACCTGAAAAACAACTTTGTTGGATCAGCGGATGGATATTGCCCGCAACATAGCCAAAGGACTCATCTATCTTCATGAAGATTGTGAAACCCGAATTATCCATTGTGATGTAAAGCCTCAAAACATACTCATGAATGAGTATAACTGTGCAAAAATATCAGACTTTGGATTGGCCAAACTTTTGAAGCCTGACCAGACTAGATCCTTTACAAGAATCAGAGGGACAAGGGGGTATGTTGCCCCAGAATGGCAAAGGAAACTACCTGTTACAGTCAAAGCAGATGTTTACAGCTTCGGCATTGTATTATTAAATATCACATGTTGTCGACGGAGTGTGGACTGGACCCTTTCTGAGGAGGAAGCTATTCTTGAAGAGTGGGTTTACCATTGTTTTCAGGCTGGGCAGCTCGGAGAAGTTGTACGTGATGAAGATGTTGACAAGCTACAGTTGGAGAGGACGGTTAAAGTGGGACTTTGGTGTATCCAGTATGAGCCATCACTTCGTCCTTCAATGAAGAAGGTTCTACTGATGTTGGAAGACATAGTAGATATTCCACTACCTTCCAATCCAACTTCTTCTCTTAGTGCCATTTAAAAATGTGTGTGCTTTTCTAATAATTGAAAATTGTGATTAACAGTTGGGTTTGCCCTATTTTATTCCCAGGATGTTTGTGATGTGTGTAACTTCCTTTCTTCAGGAATGCTATGAGTGGGTTCCTGTGAACTAATATTAAAGATGCTTGCTTCTAAACAGAAACTAACCCAACCTCCTATCCAACAAAAATGAAGGAAAAAACAAACCTAACCCGACCAGCGTCACAACTCTCTCCGTCCAAATACAAGAAAAATCTAAGACTAAAAGGAATCAACTTTGTCTTCTCTCAATTTTCTGCATTTTGCATATGAAGTGTAGGAAATGATGTTCATGAAATTCATGTTGTCTTGTAATTCTGATATTAAATTAATATCTATAATATGTTCCTGGATTGAGTGAAATCATTTAACTTCATCTGAGAAACGAAAATATCGGATAGAAAGAAAATGGGAGGCAAAGTTTGCAACATAGGCCAAGAATGTCAGACACTTGGTCAAATTTCTCTACACATCAAAACTTTCTAAGATTAAGATTTTCTCCAATTCTGTTCAAACTGTCTAGAAATTTCAATTTGGACATAAAGCTCTCATAATAATAATAATAATAAATAAATAAAGAGTTTAAACAGAGAGATAGTCTAGAATTACTTAGTTGGGATTTGGTTGTCTTAAAGAGAGTTTGCACATGCTGGTGCTTCACGGAAAGGGAAATTTTCTTACGGCAACTTTTGTGTGGCTTTCAACGCTTAACTCTAGTTTGAATGGCTGCATAGGATGGTTGAGAGAGACACTGCAGATAGCTGCACACTAAGCTTCTGCAATAATGAGTGTGAAGGGAACTTAGTCTATTAATCCATAAATTTATCAGTTCAAAAATTGTTTGCAGGAAGCTTGCATCATATTCACTGAAAAAGTATGAAACAAAAAATACTCCACCAGGATGAACATGAAATTAACTTCAACAATAAAATTGTCCTGAAAGAACAAAAATGCTTATTCAAGACTTTAATTGAGGTTTCATCAACAATAATAATGAATATGTAAAAAAAAGTTGTGGTTCTAATATAAAGCCATAGNAGTCTAGAATTACTTAGTTGGGATTTGGTTGTCTTAAAGAGAGTTTGCACATGCTGGTGCTTCACGGAAAGGGAAATTTTCTTACGGCAACTTTTGTGTGGCTTTCAACGCTTAACTCTAGTTTGAATGGCTGCATACGATGGTTGAGAGAGACACTGCAGATAGCTGCACACTAAGCTTCTGCAATAATGAGTGTGAAGGGAACTTAGTCTATTAATCCATAAATTTATCAGTTCAAAAATTGTTTGCAGGAAGCTTGCATCATATTCACTGAAAAAGTATGAAACAAAAAATACTCCACCAGGATGAACATGAAATTAACTTCAACAATAAAATTGTCCTGAAAGAACAAAAATGCTTATTCAAGACTTTAATTGAGGTTTCATCAACAATAATAATGAATATGTAAAAAAAAGTTGTGGTTCTAATATAAAGCCATAGCAGATTACTTGGTAAGAAACTACAAGTTAGCCATAGATAATTGTACCATAGTGACATAATCAAGCGCTGATTGTATTATCCTTCCAATATATTAAAACAAAAAATCCAACCCAAAAAATGCAGAGAAGAAAACTGTAGATGAGCCATGATAAAAAGAACTAAATTACAGAATGAAAAGTCACTTGTAAAAAGAAACTCTTGTAGTGACAACTCTAATTTATACAGATAACTATTTGCAGCTAAAGTATGACAATCAATAACTGATCTGAAGCATTCCAATCATCATGCAGCCAGTATTTCAGAGTCAACTGCTGATAGAATCATCCCAAAATTTCTCAGGATGATGTTATATTTAAAGAAATTCAAGCAAACAGAAAGAGATCTCTCAGTTCTCCATATTATTTTAGGACTTTGACGCTTTGTCCAAAGCATTAAAAACATTTTGTGGAGTTACCTTTTCCACAACCACAATTTTGTCTCTTGATTTAGATCCAGAACCTATGGACACTTGCCTTCGTTTCACCCCTAAAACCTGTAACAAGAAAGAGTGACATATGAATTTCCCTTAAATTAAACATGACTTCTCATCATCCATAAAACATGAATAAGGAATAAAAAATTGAATGCAAGTGGAAAAAGTTTAAAAGACTACTCCAAAAAAATTACCAAGTAAAAACGTCTACTCCATTTACAATAATACACATTATTTTAGACCAATGTCAAGGTGAATCCAGTCGAATTATAATCTTCTATCACCTAGTACCGCCCACCTACAGATTCTACATCAAATGTTCTTAAGGATGTGCTTAGTTTAGGGTTAATTCTCTTGCCTACTTGTCCAATCACGCTTTCAAGTCATGTAAAGTGAAGTTCTTAGCTTGGACCATTAACAAGGAAAGATAAACACAATTGACATTATAAGATTTTCAAAAGAAATCATAAAATACTTTCTCAATATCCCCTTTCGCATTCAAAAATCTCTATTCAAAAACAGAAATTTGAAAATCACTCAAAAGTTCCACTAAAAACCTATACACAAAACTCACCGAGCTGATGTACTCAAGAAGCGCCGCGTTCGCTTCACCGTCCTTCGCCGGCGCCTCAATTTGCACTCCCACCGCCTCATCACTCACATCTACGAATCAAAAAACGATATTAACACACACTAACAAAAATTAAAAGAAGAAAGAGAAAAAAAAATCAAATAATAAAAATTTTATACGGACCTGTAATGGAAGAGACTTTGGAGCCGGGCTTAGCGTGGATGGTGATGGCCACAGAAGAGGAAGAAACGACGCGAATACATGAAGGGAGATTGTCGTTTTGAGTTTTGTTAGTGGAGGCTTGCGAGGACTGAGTTGACTCGCTGGATTTCGCCTTCGCTTTCCCTTTTTTCGCCGGCGCCATATCTGTTTCTCGAGTTTGGGAACGGGGGAATATTTAGTTCGGTGAGTGTACAGAGTTGAGAAGTGGGATACTGGGATCCTCCAATGATCATGCCCAGGTGGATTACACAGCGTTAATTTTTTATTTTTTATTTTTTTTGTGTGTGTGCGTGTAAAATGTATAAAGTAAAAATAGAATTTTTGGTTTAGAAATTTAACAAATAAGAATTAAGACAATATTACACTTACAACTCAATTTTACAAATTTTTTCTCACAATTTTAACGTAATAGTTTTTAATTAGTCAGTTCGATAGCTCGTAATAGATCCCGCTGTCCAACAATAACTTCTGTCTATCCAATTGTAAGTTGTCATGTCGAAGTTGTGGGAGAAAATTTGTAAGATTGGATCGTGAATAAATATTTATTGTAAGTATTATGAGTTATTAAATTTTTTTTTTCTAACTCTTAATTTTATAAATTTGATTAATGGTTGGGAATTTATATGCATTTTCTTAACTTTAAAAGAATATAAGTCAATCAATGTATGTTGAATATGTGTGGTATGACTTTTTTAAATAAAGCTTATTAAAATTATGTAGACGTAAAAATCAATATGGCCAGAAACGGCCATCTCGGAGCCTCTTGATGTCGGTGAGTTGCTGATGGGGACTTTTGAAGACATCCGGCGGTGGTTTGAGGTGGCGGTAGGAGGTAGGAGTGATTTCGTAATAAATTAAAGTTTTATATAAGCGGGGGTGTTTTAACTAAATTTGAAATATTAGGGGTTAAAAAATTATTCAAAAATTAATAATAAAAATAATATTATATTAATATTTGAAAAGGGGTCAATTTAGTAATTTAAATAATATACCCACCAATTTATTCCCCATAACTAAACATATTAATATAACATACCCACTAACTAACCAAACACATTTTCCTAAAGATTCCCATTAATCTTCCAAGGTAATCTATCTTTCCAGTAATCTAACATTCCTGAACCAAACGCTCCCTATAAGTATTTTTCTGATGTAACCAAACATCCTAAAAGCATTTTTAAAGAAACTCATAACTTTAGATAATCTATTTTATCAATAGAGAACCCGAATCAAACAGCCTCATATATATTTTCCACCAATCTCTAATAGAACTCAATCAAATTTTTATGGTATGGCCAACCAAAATGTAAATATCATACCAACCAATAAGGGTGAAACCAGAAAATTTGTTTTGGAAGAGTTAAAAACTAATTTGAAGTAAATATAAATAAAAAAGTACATATGCACCAACAGCTTAAACATGTATTTGAGATTTCAGCATGAGGAGGAGGTGGGACAAGGAGGAACAAGAGACATCAGTAATCCCTTCTAACATGGAAGGTAAACTGATTCTGCAAACTGGCCAAACGAAGATGAAGTCATAGCTGAGCTTTCATATGTGCTTTACTATGGTTTGTGCTCCAAAATAACCCCTTGGTTTATTGTATTAACACTATTCCCTCACCTATTAGTTCGAGTTTTTAGGTAGACTGACAATTTAACTTGGTATCAAGGCGGTCTAAAGTTGGAATCACCACATTCAATTCATGTTTCATGTGACGGGGCTAAACGCTGGAGACCAGAATCTATCTGCCGGCAACTGATCATTTACGCTTAAAGGAAAAGAAAAAAAAAAAAAGATGTGAAAGAAAAAGAATTTGATAACTATTTCTCCCTTATTCTTCTAGATTACAACCTGTAACAGTAAGTTTATAGTATTCTCCTTTCAACACTTCATTGCCGTCTTCACCATCTGTATATTTTATTAATGTAAGCGGCTTCTGGGGGAGGAATTTCTATTGGAGGATTCATAAATTGCCGTCTCAACCTTCCATATATTTTTTAACGTAAGGTGCTGCACGCGGGGAGGAATTTCTATTGGACCAGAAGTCAAGAAGTCTCTTTAACCAAATTGTTTATGTCTAAACTCCACCTATTTTCCATGATATTAGAATAATCTATTGTCTACTGGTCGGAAAGAATTTGATTGGATTTTAACGGTTGAAAAATTTATATTATATAGTACTAAAATAGTCATGATGGAAACTAGCATAACTCTTCTTTCATGCTGAAAGGTCCCCAGATTGGAATGAGAGAGTCAGAACTGACTTCGATGTTGCAGAGGAATCCTTTATCTCCATGATGAATGGGAAGCAAATTAGAACATAAGGCATCAAAACATTCTTATGGATGGTTTTTTGATGGCTAAAATCTCCGATTTGGTCCAGTAAAAAACTGTTAATACTAGACCAAACAAGGACTTTCACATTAGCGAGGAGAACAAGAGGTTACGTGATGCCAAAATGGTCAAAGAATGTCTCAATTATATCAATGAAAGAAGATGTTTGCTGAATATAGATATTATTAATATTGCGAGGGGAACCAACTTCCATAAAATTTACAATTATTGCAAGCACAGACATTTTAAAGGACACTAGAAAAAGAAGTGGGGTTGGGAGGAAGTGGGATATCAACTATGCCTTCCAACATCAATAGAACCGTTTTCATTGAAGGACGGAGAGATGGCTCATATTGGATGCACCAAAGTCCCATTTTAACCATCCTTTCCAACAGCAAATTATCAACATCTTCATCACCCACAACTTTTCCCAGCTCACCAGCCTAAAAACAATGGAAAACCCATTCTTCAAGAATAGCTTCCTCTTCACAGAGGGTCCAGTCAACACATCGTCTGCAACATATGATCTCAAAGAGTACAATTCCGAAACTGTAAACATCTGCTTTGACTGTCACAGGTAGTTTCCTATGCCATTCTGGGGCAACATACCCCGTTGTTCCTCTAATCCCAGTAAGCGATCTGGTCTGGTCAGGCTTCAGAAGTTTTGCCAATCCGAAGTCTGATATTTTTGCACAATTATACTCATCTATGAGAATGTTCTGAGGCTTTATATCACAATGGATAATCCGAGTTTCACAATCTTCGTGGAGGTAGATGAGACCTCTTGCTATGTTGCGAGCAATATCCATCCGCTGATCCCAACACGGTTGCTTTTCTGGTGTGAAGAGTAGATCTGCAAGTGAGCCATTGCTCATGTACTCGTATACCAAGAGCCGGTTAGGCCCCTCGTGGCAGTAGCCAAGTAATCGGACTAAATTCCGGTGATTCGTTCTGCCGATTGCTTTCATCTCAGTCTGAAACTCTCTTTCTCCTTCAGTTGAAACTCTGTCTAGTCTCTTAACAGCTATAACCTTCTGACCATTAGATATTTCCCCCCTGAAAACTGTCCCAAATGCTCCTCTACCAATCTCTTCATTAAAATTGTTAGTCACACTCAACAGTTCATAGTAAGTAAATGATTTTGGACCAACATCCTCATTTAATTGAATTTTACTTGAAATCCTTTTATAATCGTGAACTCGATTTCTGTAAACAAGGACTCCAGAAATTGTCAAAATAATGACTTCAAAAACAAGGAGTGAAACACTGACAATTAACAAATCTGTCTGCCTCTCTTTCTTGCTTCTTTTAGGCTCATCCCCTTGTCCTGGGGCACCTGCAAAATTCGAAACACCGACTTTGATGAGAGCTAAGTTTGATTCGCTCTCAAGTTTTCTCCCGAATCTCAGAGGCAGCTTTTGCTTTCTGCATTCACCATCTTTAAACATCGCAGCTTCACAACTACAGTCTTCCAAGCATGCCCTTTCACATTCTTCTTCGGTTGGCAATGACAGAATGGAATATGAAGCGTCCTCCCATGTGGTATTTGCAACTCTATCAATAGTGTATTTGATATTTCCATCCTTGCTTTCACAGTTCTCGGTCGAGAAATTCTTTTGACAGCCTCCCTCTCCACTAATTAAATATCCTGGAAGACATTGACAGTAAATATCTTGATCATTTTTAGCACAATACCTGTTTAGGCCACAGAGACCCTTTGAGGAACACTTATCAACCGAAGAAGCCCATACAATCGACACACTGCTGTTCTGATTTAATTTAAACGAATACAGTCGGAAGATCCCATCCGTGTCAATTTTCATCAAATAGATTGTTCCTTCTGTAGAATAGCCTCCTGGAGTCAGATCTTTTATAATGAACCCAGTAGAATTAACCAGGTAAAGATGGCCATCGACATCAAGGTTTAGTGACACATTTTCACCTCTTTTATCTGTAAAAGATGAATAATAAGAATATGCTGCTTCATCTGGAGTATCCTTTGGGTACTGCACAAGATTTCCATCGTTTTGCATCTTCAGACGAAAGATCCCCGTCGATTGGTTGGTTTCCGAAACACTTGAAAACAGCTCTTCCCCTGCCAAGAGACTTTGACCTGGTAATATTGTATTAAAAGGGTTCCGAAAACTCTGCCATATTATCTCCTGATCAAAATTATAGAGAATAAAATTCCTTGAATCAAACATAGATGCTTTTGCAACAGGTTCATGACTATTTACTATGGATATTTCTTGGCCATCTGCTGATTGAAGAACAAGTCTTCCTGCACCTGTAAGAAGCAAGGTAACATTTCCTTGAACCGGAGGGTTATCACGATTTGCTGTCCAAATAACAGTCTTCTGAGGTATTCCTGCAATAAAAATTCCCACAGAAAAACCATTTCCTTGCTGATTGAAGCCAAAACCATATAAACCAGAAGGCGATAGCCAGGAGGAGTTTCCGGTGGGAGTTATAGAAGAGCCTAGACTTATATTGAATTGCCCCTGTTGAGCTGTTGCCAGAAAATTTGTAGAGAGCAGAAGAAAGAATAAGATGGAAACCATTTTGAAAGAGTAATCCTGTATTTCTAACTTGATCACAAAAGAACAAAATCACAAGCTCATTTAAGACTAATAAGAACAGAGAGCTATATGTACAAATCTGTTTTTTACCTCCAAGATGGAGCGAGGAAATAGATAAGACTATTTTAATCGCAAGACCTTTTCAAATTGAAGTCTCCAATTCCAGTCATTAAGTATTCTAAAATGAAGGTTTAATATAATCCTGGGAAAGCGATTGAGATATAGAATTTTAATTGCAAGAACAAATCACAGGTTAGTCATAACCTGAACTCCCCAGCTAAGCAAAGTCAAGTCTTTGGTAAGTTAATTAGTAACTAACTTCACCAGCTAAGTTAGTCAAGGTCAATAAGTTCACCGAAGTTCATCCCATTTGACTATTCATTTAGTTGGTTGTTTTATTTAAAGTTTCTTTTACTTTAAATAGAAGTATATGAAAACCCTGAAACATTGAGGACTTTTTCTTTTCCATAACCAATGCCAAAGAAATATAGAAACACAAACATACCTAGAAGCAACATCTTCTTTAACAATCATAAACATCTGCTTTAATGGACATGCTTCTGCATTTAAGAGTATAACACTAATAGTTTAGTTGCAAAGAGATATGAGTCCTAAAGAGACATGACTTTCCTTGTAATTTAAGGAATCATTTACATTTCTACATATATGTTTAGAGATTTGAATTACTGCATAATTCACCCTACATTTCATTGGTTCATTCATTTCAAAAAGTTTTAGGACCTTAATTAAAGTCTTAGAATTCTAATTTCATAAATCTTTGGTGCATTATACATCGAAAAGATTTGAATGGGCTTCAAACAGAAGAAGAATGCTCCAGGACCATCTGCAAAACGAAACTACAGAAACATCTTACTGTATTTATCTGACATGGGAGTCTTTTATTTTAAATTTAGAAGTTGCAAATCTACATACTCAAGCTTATTCCTATGCCTACCACTTAACTCATAAGAAGATTACAGTTTGTTTTCTTATATCTTTATCAAATTGAATTCCTCATAACTAAAACTAAATTCCACTATAGTATTAATTGTAATCTTAATTGTCTGAGACTCTCAGCTCTTGGACATTCAAATTCAAATTCAAATTCTTAGTTATACTCCCCCAGGGTTATAATTAGGGATATTGATTTCAATAAGGCTACATATATAAATTTCGGGATTCCAATTTTGTATCTTAAATGACGTGACAATTTACGTGTTAATACAAGATTGATTAAGATACAAAGTTTGTATGAAATGATAGAAAACGAATACCAGTTTTAAATAGTTCAATTTAGAACAACAAATCACCATTAAATATTCCTAAATTGAACAATTTAAAACTTTTATCTTTTTTCTATCATTTCATTCAAACATTGTTCCTAAATATATAATTAATATCCCTTATAATTATTGTCGATTGGGCCTAATAGCCAAAACATTTTAATAATGCCATAATTCATATAAATAATTGAGCAAGGCACTGCCAACGTGTGCACCCGTACTTTGAATGTTCTCATTTAAATTAACACAAGATCTTGACATACGTTTTATAATAGCTGTGTGACAAATATTGTCCCCGTCACGGAAATTAAGCAATTATGCAATAGTTTCTTAAATTTAGGTGGAGGAATAGAGACGTCAGTAATTCCTTATAACATCAAACATGTAAGAAATTTTAATTTTTAATTTTTAATATTATAATAAAAATTTGTGTGATTGTGACATATATCACAACATGATGTTTATAAAATGGTGTAAAAAAATGACGTAACTATATCATTCCTCTCTCCAACCGAAGATGCCTTGACTTGGTATTGCTACTATAACTATTTTTTTAATATCCTATAATTGAACTGGCGAAGTCATGGATTCGAATCAAGGAGACCCACTCGCATGACCCTACTATCTAAGGTAGATAAGATAAAAATCACAATATTTTAGCAGTGGGCTGGCGTGTTGAGCAAGACAAAACCAAAAGTGTATAGATGATTTAGAATAGGCCAAGAATGGTTTAGCCCAGGATGCCAGCAAGACACTACATCTAAAGGGGCTTGAAAATGGGCCGGGGTGTTTTAATTTTGTCCCAAAAAAGAGAACATTATACAGTATTGAGTTCACAGCACAGGCATCCAAACTATGTAACAGTAATACAAGAAACTAAAACTAATCAGAATAAGAATCTGAATATGAACAGAATGAGAACAATCAGTATTCAGTTCCAACAAAAGCAAAATTGAAAGGTGCATGCAATCATCACAGAGAAAATTTCAAGTTGATTGAATAGCTTTATTGTACAATGTACTGACACAAAATCTTACACAACTTATGCAACAATAATAACATGCAATAATCTCTTACAAAATCAAGACCTCTAACAAGTTAAAATTTTTCAGTTGTTTCTTTACATGGTGATATCTAAGATACAATTAGAACCCGTTACATGCCGAAAACCTCGTTTCTTAATACCAACATCGATCCCGAATTAGTTAACTGAATTCCACAGCAGAAACCTAGAATGTCTATTCGTAGAAGACACAAGAAATTATGACTGTTTCCCTAAAGGAAAACTGAAGCAAAACCTGGATTGATTTCTGTGCAATATGAGAGTGCTAGCATTGTAAGAGAAGCATACCAGGAATCAAACTGGAAGCTGTCATGACTTTGGATCGCTGGAACAAATGATGCCTGATTTATTATACATGGAAAGGCTCACTCACGGAATATTAAAAGTTCCTCCCACTCTTTTCATCAGAGTAACCTGTGCTACAAATGAAGAAACCTGTAAGGGGACTGCTGCATATCCAAGAGTGAACAGAGAATTTTTTCGGACAGGGTGTAAGTAATATGCAAAGTTGATATCAGGAAACAAACCTGGATTTCTAGAAAGTAATTTCGGGGCAGGGTTTAAGTAATGTGCANAAGAAGAAAGAGACTTGTAAAAATGAAAATGAATCGAATGCATAAACTGCCAAAATAATTCTGCTTTTATATGGTTGACATTAGGGTTGAATTTCAGCCGTTGGATCTTCTTTTCATCAACGCTCAGGATTGTTTCTGTCATTTAGATCAAAGCGACGTCGTTCCACTTAAGTGCAAATACGATAGCGTTTCAAGCCATCATCCAACAAACCACTTTCAGCTAGTATTAAAAATCTTTCATTTGCATCAGTTCAAATTTTCTTCCAAGTATTAACCACATCTCAAAAGAGAGTATAACTGCAACCAGCTTAATTTTCTAATTCCAAAAGCATTCCTCCATTATAAGACAGAGTAAAAAAATGCTTCTGGACTATCTGCAAACAGAACTACATAAACAAGTCTACCAGATACAAGTAACTCTTATTGTTCTTCCATGGTATGAGTTTCTTTTGTTTTAAAGTTAAATTAAGAAATTTTTATTTCACAATATTATTCCTACGTCCCTATTCCTTGTATCATCAGAAAATAACAATTTATTTATTGAATTGAAGCCATGAGCTTATATTCATCTTACATCACATAAGTGGAAACGGAAATACACTGAATATGTATAGATGCAGCAATTAACAGCTCCATATAACGAGATTTTAACCTGAGCAGGAAGTGGGACAAGGTGGAATAGAGACCCTATTAATCCCTTCTAACATCATTACTACACTCTTCTTCATGGACAAGCTTATTCGGCTTTCAGTTAATGAAACGCTTATAAACCCAGTTGATTAGAACTATTTCCTTGGGTCTTGATGCATAAACATCTAAGTTTCTTCTGTAGCAAGCAATTTCTAAGAGCACTACCCGTAACTGTAAACATCTACTTTCACTGATATTGGGATGTTCTTCCACCATTCTGGCACCATGTAACCTCTTGTCCCTCCCACCAATGTGGAAGTCCTTGATTGGTCTGGCATTAACAGTTTTGCCAGACCAAATTCGGAGATTTTAGCAGCCCAAAAACCATCCATCAGAATACTCTGAGGCTATATAACACAATGAATGATAGGGGCTTCATGTTCATCATGGAGATAAAGAATTCCTCAGGCAACATCTCATGCAATTCTCACTCTCTTGATCCAATTTAGGGCTGTTTCAGAATGAAATAGAATATCAGTATTGAAGATACAGTCGCTTACAGCAGCATACTACAGCCCGGCTCAACTTATTCAAGTATGCCTCATTAGTATTATTTAGTTAAATGTAACTGTGGTTAACTGAATTAGTTTAGTTGGTTGAGTGAGTTAGTTTTTTCTACAACTTAAGCGTACTGTACAATAACATTTCGTAATTAATGAAAAAAATCCTCTTTCTGCAATCTTCTTCTCTACCAAAATCTAATAATCAGTAAGCGAGCCATTATTCATGTATCTGCATACCAGAACCCTCTTTGGGTCCAGAGCACAATAAAAAAGCAACTGAACTAAGTTCATCTGATTTGTTCTACAAATTACATTCATCCGTGTAATTCTCTTTCACGACCATCATTCATCATCTTCTCCAATCTCTTGAAAGCAACAAGTTTTTCACCTCTGTATAAGACCCCTTTATAGACTGCACCAAAATGTCCCATGTTTTATCTAGAACAAAAAATTTGCACCAAAAGAGCCCATGTTTTATATACAACAAACAATTTCCAGAAGCAAAACTCTGTAACTGTCAAAATCTGCTTTCACTGATATAGTGATATCAAGTTGTTCTTTAACCATTCTGGAGCAACCTCTTGTTCCTTTCATCAATGTGGAATACTTGTTTGGTCTGGCATTAAATAAGCATAACTAGTATCATTGCCTTCTCTTGAAAAGATCCACAATATTGTCGTTGATGTTGGTCTTTCTCAAGCCCCTTCATGAAGACTCCAACAGGATTCTAGTATATGAATATAAGAATAATGGCTGCATAGAAAATCCCCTCTTTCATGGATTCTGGTGTATGGATATATAAACAATTGCCGCCTAGTAGATCTCCTCTTTCGTGCTAAAAGTTCTCAGATTGGAGTGAAAGAATGAAGAATTGAGTTAGATGTTGCAAGAGGAATCATTTATCTTCATGACGAAGTGACAGAAAGCCTCAAAACATTCTCATGAATGATTTTCGGACTGCTAAAATCTACAACTTTGAGCTGATAAAACTGTTAATGCCAGACAAACAAGGACTTATTAAGAGGTTTCTAGGCTCCCAAAGAGTCTAAGAATATACCTATTATATTTATGGAGTTGAGCTATTGTTTGCTGTAAAAAAAACATTGATGTTAATGGATCAAAACCAGAAGAAATTCTTATAAATTGAGTTTACAAGTACTTCATTGACAGAGTTGAATAAGCTTGTCCCCTAGTAAATAAAAAGACTATGGAGAACACGATTAAGGTGGCGCTCCGGTGTGTTCAAGATGAACTAGTTCTTTGTCCTTCGGTAAAGAGTTTAGTGATGATGTTAAAAGAGATAACTAGCTCATATGGGTATTGTTGGTTTATGTATCTTACAGTGTATTTTCATTTCAACATGGTATGTTCTGATGACTGATGTTGTAAGCAGTAGGCAATAAAGTAAAGCTTGAGTATATAAATTTGTGCTTTCAAATTTGAAACAGATGAAACTTCATTCTTGCCATATACAAATCGTGAGAGGCTTGAATTCCATCTATAGCAGGATAAAAAAAAAAAAAGTGCTAACTCAGAGGAATTTGTATTCTAATTTTATGTCAGATCTGTATGACATCAGATGTCATACTATAAATTATCTCAACTTCGACCTGTCTATTGAAGCTGATATGACGCAAGATCAACAAGTCATTAAAAATTGTAAAATGAAAGTTCAATACAATCCTGGAAACACATTTGAGATATAAAATTTTAATTGCAACAGCATTTCAAATTGTGTTAGGTTGTTGACAAGTTAATTCATAACCTGATATTTACCAGATAAGAAATTAAAGTCTTTTACAAGTTAATTCACAAGTAAATTCTCCAGGTAGGGACTCAAGGGCTAAAGAAACAGACCCAGATGCAACATTTGATCTCTTACGACATCTGCATTAACTATCGTAAATAGATTTAATGACATTCTGGTGCAACATATCCCTTTGTTCATCTAATTTCTGTGAGGGTTTTAATTTCGTCTGGTTTTGTGAACTTATCCAAAATCAGAAAAAAATTCGCATATGTTCTCATCAATGAGTACGTTGTGAGGTTACCGAGTAATGAAAGCGTTACAAAATTAATGGACAAGCAGATGAATTCATTCATTTAATATAGTTGTAAGACCTTAAGAAAGTTTCAGAGAATTTTAGTTTCTTAAAATTTTAGTGCCTTAATCTTAAAAATATAATATAATCCAGCCCAAGTATATCTGTACTAACCATTTTCTATCTTCATTATGCATCCAAAGGATAAGTAAGGGCTTCAAGCAGAAGAACTACAGAAACAATTCTACCAAATGCAAGTAGCTCTCACTGTTTTTTCTATTACATGGGATTCCTTTATTTTAAAGTTAAAACAAGTCTACATACTCAAGCTTGTTCCTATGCCTATTGCTTAATTCATCAGAAGATTACAATTCATTTTTTATTATAAATCACCCATCACATAAATGTGAGATTTACCCTGAGGAAGAAGAGGGACAAGGAGGAATAGAGACATCAGTAATTCCTTCTAACATCATCACCGCACTCTTCATCGACGGACGAAGAGCCGGTTCATCTTGAACACACCAAAGCCCCACCTTAACCATGTTCTCAAAAGTCTTCTTCTCCACTTCTTGGCCACGCACAAGCTTATTCAACTCTCTGTTAATGAAGCACTTATAAACCCAGTTAATAAGAATCGTTTCCTCTGGTTTCGAGGGATCAATCTCCATGTTTCTTCTACAGCAAACAATTTCCAGGAGCACAACCCCATAACTGTAAACATCTGCTTTCACTGATATTGGGGTGTTCTTAGACCATTCTGGCGCCATGTAACCTCTTGTTCCTCTCACCAATGTGAAAGTCCTTGTTTGGTCTGGCATTAACAGTTTTGCCAGACCAAAGTCCGAGATTCTAGCTGTCCAAAAATCATCTATCAGAATGTTTTGAGGCTTTATATCACAATGAATGATAGGTGCTTCGCATTCATCATGGAGGTAGAGAATTCCTCTAGCAACATCTAATGCAATTTTCACTCTCTCGTTCCAGTCTGGGGATATTTCGGAATGAAAGAGGAGATCTGCCAGGGAGCCATTGCTCATGTATTCATATACCAGAAGCCTCTTCGAGTCCTCACTGCAGTAACCAAGCAACCGAACTAAGTTCTTGTGATGTGTTCTACCTATTACGAGCATCTCTGCATGGAATTCTCTTTCGCTACGATCAGACATCATCTTCTCCAATCTCTTGACAGCAACAGGTTTTTCTCCGTTGTATAAGACCCCTTTATAGACTGCACCAAAAGAGCCCCTGCCCAGACCTTCTTTGAATCCATTGGTTGCCCTCTTAAGCTCACTGTAAGAGAACGGCCGCAGAGTAAGCTCATCAGCTGAACCAAAATTTCCTGTTTCCAGCAGCCATTTGTACTCAACAACCCGGTACTTGAATATGAAAAATCCTGAGACTGCAAGGAAAACACATGAACAAGAGATGAAGCCTATAGTCACAAGAAGAATTAGTATCACTGCCTTCTTGCTTGTGACTCTGACTAATGTTTGAGGCTTTAATGGTGATGGTACCAGTGTACTGGAACCATTATCACTTTTGATAGCTCTTGTGCCCATCTTGAAGTAAGCTATGGAAGACTGACCATTTATATCATCGTCAACTCTCTTAGCAGATTTCAAAGGAAGTTTGTGCTTTGTGCAATAGCCAGAATTGTACAACGCCGCATCACAATTGCAATCCTCCAAACACGATTTTCTACAATCTTCTTGTGACATATTTTCTTTTATATATGGATAATCATCCCATGTAATCTTTTCCATAGGAGCAATATTGGATACAGCTTTACCATTTTTCACATCCTTGCAACTTTCTTCAGTAAAGTTCCTCTGACACCCACTAAACTGCTGATTAGGATCAACAAAATCAGTACCAGGAATGCATCTGCAGACGTATAATTTGTCATCCAATGTGCAATAGCCGTTCAAGCCACAGAAACTCTTAACCTGACATTGATTATCTGGTTTTGACCAAAGCTCAGTGGATGTGTTGTATGCACGTGATTCAGTGACAAAGTAATGAGCAAACAAACGAAAAATCCCATCATCGCCTACCGTTGCAAGGTAAATGGTTGAGCTATTGAGCCTTTCATCGTAAGATGAATCAGAGGTCAAGCTCCGTATTGTAGCCATGGTTTTGTTGAGAAGGAGTAGTTCACCTGTATAATTCAGAAACAAGTGATGTTGTTCTTGGCCGTAAGAGTCAGTGGCCCAGTAGGCATCTACATACTGGTCAGTGGTGTTTATGGTATACATAACAAGATTCCCATCCGTTTGCATCTTCAACCGGTACTGTCCAGTTGAGTGATTTGTTTTGGATACACTAGAAAACAGTTCACTTTCAGAATAGAGATTCTGACCTCCCAATATTGTATCAGTAGGGAAGTAAAAACTAGACCAGATGATATCAGAACGGTTGTTGAAGAGCACAAAGTTACCCGAATCAACCATGGAAGCAAAAGAAGCACTCTCCGATGTTTTAACAATCGTTTTTTCTGCGCCCTGGCCAGTTCTTAGCATGAGCTTACCATCCCCTCTTAGTGTCAGTGTTGCATTTGATGACACAGGAGGGTCATCTCGATTTGCTGTCCAAACGATGGTGATGTTAGGAGAAGTTTGTAACCAGATTCCAATAGAATAGCCACTGCCTTCTTCGTAGAATCCAAACTTAAAATGGCCAGAAGGTGAACCCCACGAAATGGGACCCCCGTCAGGAGACAGTGAAGAGCCTTGGCTTATCCGGTTTGATTGGTTTTGAGCAACAATAGCTTGGAAAATCACGCTGAGTAACAGTAAAACTACAAATGCAGTAGCCATTAGAGGGACTGGTAGAGTTGTAATGTTTTATGTGAAATTTCTTAAGAGTTCTGATTGAAAGAGAAGATATTAAAAGCCATTAGTTGTCAGAAAGTTCATCTCATTTTCCTCATAGAAAGATGACTTGAGTCCATGACCCTTAAAGTCATCCACAGAAAACAAATTTGTTGACTGACTCTTTTTAAGGACACGTCAAGGAAAGACTTCATTGACTGGGACAATTAAGGAGTGATCAAGAGTATGGTTAGGGAAAGGGCTATGGATCTTACAAGCTCGAAGAAGACCAATAATAGCACGCGGCTAGCTTATTCTTTGGGCCTTCCTTTGACCATTTTTAGGAACCTAAAAGAAGTTATGATGATCTCTCGGCTTAGTGTGTTTGAGCCAGGTGGAGTGAATTTGGTGTCATTGTTCTTGGGGTATGGGATGCTTGTACCGGGTGTGGTTCCTTTCGGCTGGGTGTTCATGTTAATTCGTGATGAATTTGGTGTCATTGTTATTGATTGGTGGTAATTTTAAAGAATGATCAGTTGAATGGGTGGTAAGTATCAATTGGATGGATTTTTGTCAATAGTTTTGAGTCCTAACCCTTATATGATTTAAGAGATTTTAAAATTCTTGGTAGGGCATGCATCTTCCTAGAAAAGAAATGAAAACAGGACAATAGAAAACGGAAAGGCAACTTCATGGAAAATGGATGAAAGTAGAAATCCACAAAAATCAATGCAAAGACTTAATTAGAGATCGTGGAAGAGTGAAATACAATTTGGTCCCCGAGGTATAGGCTAAGAACCATAAGGTCCAGTAGAATGTGATAGTAACATTTAGGGCCTTATCAAGTTTCAGCCCCCATTTGTTTCACTCTTTTGAATCATTTTTTCTATTATCTTATTTGGATTAAAAAACAAAATATGTGTTTGTTTACTTATTGGGATCATTATTTTGAAAATTAATCCAAATCAAATAAGATTTTTTTCTATAGAAAATGAAAGAGGGGGAGATTTGTTTTCTATTATCATATTCTATTCAATTAAAAATATTTAGATTATTTTTAACAAACTATATCTGTTAATTTAGCTAAACACCTCCCACAATAAAAGTTCAAAAATTAACTAAAGCACCCCAATTAACAACCACTGTTGGCTGTCGACACCGAAACTACACACGACCGGTCGGATCTGACTGATCGTGCGCTGATCTTGTCGTTTCTGACCAATTTTGGGGGGTGTTTTGTTAATTTTTAAAGTTTTATTATGGGGGGTGTTTAGTTAAATTAACAAATGTAAAAGATTAAAAATAATCTAAATATTTTTAAAAATATTTTTAAAAAATATACCAAACAACTATTCAACATTTTATTAAATTCTGATATAATTTTCAAATATCATACCAAATACATATTCAAAATCTTATCCTATTCTATTTAATCCAACTCAACTCAACTTAAAATAGTTTTTTAGAATATCATATTTCAAATAATCTACCAAACAAGCCCTCAACTTAAAAAAAAAAAATTGTAAATATCTAAAATACCCTTAATTTGTTCATTTTTTTGTTTTCTTATAATTAATGGAATTATTCCAAATATTTGCCAGAATTCAGTTAGCAGCTGTTTTTTTTTTTTTTTTTTAATTCTATTAATTTTTAGTTTTATTTGCACAAGAAAATATTAGGTGTATTTAAGACTTAAAAAAAAAAATAAATAAATAAAAACTGGCACCTTACATACAAGGACCTAAGTGTTACTATCAGATCCTACTGGACCAAAAGTATTTAACTCGATAGTGGAATATAAACTCATTTACTCTATTATCTGATGTGTGAAATGCCTCTGATCACTAGAAGTTAATGGCTTCCTCCTCTTCTTCTTCCACTACTCCTAAACTAAAGTACAAAGTTTGCCTTAGTTTATGAGGAAAAGACACTCCGGGAAACTTTACCAGCCATCTGTACGAATTAGGGGTGTTTATAAATAGTTAACCAAACCAGTTAACTAACTTTCTGAACTGAACCGGTTAAAGGAACAACCGGTTAACTGGTTTTGAACCGGCTTTCTCTTCAACCTTTTTTTTTTATTTTTCCCTAATTTAACTTATTTTTTATTTTGAGAGGGAAGAGAAAAGTGAAAATCGGTGAGGATTGAGGAGAAATGTGTGTGTTTATGTGAAAAAAAAAAAAGAGGGGGGGTGAATGAAAGAGTGAAAAGTTGAGAGAAAAGGATTTAAGGGTTTAGGGTTTTTTAATTTTAAATTAAAAACCGGCCGGCGTCGATCTAACTGTTTCCAGCCATATCGAAGGGTGAATCAAAGGCGTCCACATAAAGTCGTCCACATAAAACAAATTTGTTGACTGACTTTGTTTAAGGACGCGTGAAGGAAAGACTTCATTGACTGGGGCAATTAAGGAGTGAACGGCAGTCCGATGCGAACAGCTCATCATGATTGAAGGCAAAAGCCAACACAGCTAATCATATTTGTTACTGATAGACATACTGGGATCATTGACAAGTTCATAAGAGGAAGGAGAGAGTATAACAAATTTTTCCTATCAGTTTTCAGTAATATTAGCCTAAACTCAGTATCACATCCATGATTTATTTTTGTGCCAATCCCAAATATAAAAAAGACAGTAGCAATTTTGTACAAATTTAACCATTTAGAACCGGAGGCAGAGTGCAAAAGATGATGCAATTAAGCATTTTCCCAACAACTTCAAATTACAGGAATGAAAGAGAAATAATTTATTCACTTTTCGGGAAAAAAAAAAAAAAAAAAAAAAAAAACAACTCAACACTCCAGGAGTTACTGCAAAACAAGAAATACTATGTGATACATAGAACGAGACACAGGAATGATGTTTCTGGAAAAGCAAAAAGATAAGTAATGGAAATCGAGTTATCAAGTGATAACTATAGAAGGAATTGGAGGGACTGGTATATCCATAGTTCCTTCTAACATCAAGATCACATTTTTCATAGCAGGACGCAGATTCGGGTCATCTTGAATACACAACAATCCGACCTTCACCATCCTTTCCAGGGTTTTCATGTGTACTTCTTCCTCCCCAACAACCTTGTTTAACTCTCCAGCAACAAAGCAATTGTACACCCAAGTGGCAAGAAGCACTTCATCTGCTGTTGAAACATTCACTTCCAGATAACTTCTGCAACATACCACTTCCAACAGCAGCACTCCAAAACTATAAACATCAGACTTCACCGTTATTAGGCCATTCGTTTGCCATTCAGGTGCCATATAACCTCTACTCCCTCTATGACCCGTATCCGTTAGATATTGATTTGGCATTGAGAACTTTGCTAAGCTGAAATCACAGATCTTAGCAGTCCAATAATCATCTAGAAGTATGTTTTGGGGCTTGATATCACAGTGAATGATTTGGATCTCGCACTCTTCATGAAGATAAAGGATTCCTCTCGCAACATCTAGTGCAATTCTCACTCTTTCTTTCCAAAGGGGACGCCTTTCAACATTGAATATGAAATTTGCAAGAGAACCATTACTCATGTATTCATAAATGAGAAGCTTTCTGGATCCCTCCATGCAAAAACCAAGCAAGCGCACCAAGTTCCTGTGATGTGTTCTACGAACTGCAGCCATTTCTGCTCGAAACTTCTTTTCTCCTTCTTCACCAACACTTTCTAATCGCTTCACAGCAACCGTCTTGTTACCCTCAGATATAGCCCCTTTATAGACTGCTCCAGGACGACCTCTTCCCAACAGTTCCTCAAACCCGTTCGTGGCTTGCTCCAGCTCAATATAAGAAAATGATTGCAGAGAGAATTCTTTGGTTAGACCAAAATTTGAATTTCCGCGAAGCTTTCTGTATCTACTCACTCGGTGTTTGTATACAAAGAAACTAGAAATTGCAATGAGCAAACACATGAACGCCATAAAACCCAAACTTGCTGTAAGAATTGTGATAAGGGTTTTCTTGCTTTCAGAAACAACCTTTTCATCATTTTCCGGAGTGTGTGGGGTGCTGACGGTGTTGTTGTTTCTTGAAATCATCTTGATAAAGACTGTAGCTGATATGTTTTTATCTTCCGTCCCGAACATCAGTGGAAGTTTCAGTTTACCACAAGTTCTGTTCAAATACAGAGCAGCTGCACAATAACAATCACTTAGGCAGGACTCTTTGCAATCTTCCTTATTCACTGGTAGCAAAGGGTATGGAAAACCTCCCAACATTGTATTCTCAATACCAGTAATGTTATGAAACACTTCTGGCTCATTCCTTTCACAACCTTCTTCTTCATTAAAGCTCTTGTAGCAACCCAGATTCCTCACACCAGGATTGATGTACTTAAATCCTGGAAAGCAGTAATAATTAGCTATGCCACCAGGACTAGAATAGAAGCTATTAAAACCACAGAAACCGGTCACCTTACACTGCTTCAACTTTGCAGATGACTTAGTGGTCACATTAGAGTTACCACTGATCTCAAAGCGATGCGAGTATAGCCTTAAAATCCCATCAGGATCAAGTGTAGCACGGTAAATCACAGTCTTGCTGTTTGCAGGATAAGAGCTATTGGCTATAGTTTGCAAAGTCTCATTTCCTGCGGTTAACTGTAAAGCTCCGCTAAGACTGAGATTTAACACTAAGAAAGCATGGCTAATCAGGATATTTACTTTCCAGTAACATTCCTCCGGAATACCAGTATGATTTACTGGATAGGCAGCCAATCCATCACCGTCTACATTGAGATAAAATTGCCCACTCGAGTGGTCAGATGTTGATCTGCTTGCCACCAGTTGAGAGACTATGCTTTGACCACCTAATATGGTGTCGGTTGGGCTATGAAAGCTATCCCATATGACCTGAGATTCATTGCCATAGATGACAAAGTTACCAGAATCCAGCATAGAAGCTGAAGCAGGCTGCTCAGATAATTGAGTAATGTTTTTCTCATCACCTCGGTGTGTTCGAAGAAGAAGACCGTGTTTGGTGAACTCAATAGTAGAATTCAAGGGGACTGGCAGGTCATCTCGATTTGCAGTCCACACAACAGTGATATTAGGTTTATCAACCAGCCAAATTCCCACTGCAAATTCATTGCCTTGTTGATAGAAACCAAATGCAAAATGACCTGACGCCGAGCGCCAGGAATTGCGACTAGTGTTGGGGACTAATGAAGATCCTGGGCTAATTTTTTCTAGTTCAGCTCGTGTATGCAAAATAACTAGAGAGAGTAAGAAGCAGATAACCAGTACAGAAGCCATGAGAGAACCTTCAGGACACAAGTTTGATATATAACAACCTTGCATTCTTTGGAAAAAAAAAAGACCATAAACAAGAACCCAGTGATTGTTTTTTCTGACTCCTCTAGATAAAGTAGACCTGTTGACTCACCATTTTGTCCAACACTTGACTTGGAAACAAACTATTGCTGTAAGTTGAAAGTAAGCAGGCCTTGTAACTTGTTTCTCACGGGACTGAACTCACCCCAAATTATACTATAATAATAACAATAACAAGTAAAAGGGAAAAAATCTTTCATGAATGAGACTACAGTCATACATGTAAAAAGTAATTTTCATACATATAGCAATAGAAATGAAACAATTTCTATGTTGCAGATAGCGTAAGAGATTATACCTTTCATTTGGTTCACTATGAAGCACCATAACACGCAAAAGAAGTCTAAACAAGAGAGTGAGAATGAATGTATCACAAGTTCATACGGTTAAATTAACAGTTAAAGAGATGCACTAATTATACAATGAAGAAAACACTATAAGTTGGAAAGAGTGAGGGGATTAAACCTTTCGTATAGATGCACGGAGTATTTGACTGAAAAATATCAAATCAGCGTACGACCGGCCAAATGCAGTTGGTTGTATGCCATTTCGACAACTGCTAGCCACCATCCGACAGTCGGCTAATAGAAGACAAAAAATTATGACTATTTCCGTATAAGAACATTTAAGAAAATTACCTGGATTTATATCAATAAGCCAATGATGATGGCTGAAGTCATTCTCACTTGCATGTAAATCTATTTAAGTCATTCCCACTTCGCAACTTCATTCAACTTACAAAGCAATTTTTCATTTGCTTCAATGTACGCAACCCATAACATAGAACGCTAAGAAATTTCTAAGAAAAACAGCAAGTTTTAATTTTAAAATCATGTTGCTGATGTATGAAAGATTGGGTGGCGGCAGATTTCAAGCTTTAATATCGTATTGTTGAAGATATATTTAAAGATTTTAAGAATTTAGAAATTAATGAAAATGAAGATATATACTAATTCTTAATCCTAATTTCTAAGTTTGTATTTGTAATTTATAATTATAACTTATAAGTAATAAAAAGTGTTGAAATTCAATTAATATTTTGATGTCTCATTATTTTATTATATTTTATAGTGATTATATATTTTTAATTAATATAAATACAAAATGGCACTGAATATAATATATAAAATATTTTTATAATAATTATCAATAATAAATCAAAATTACCATAATTTATAAATATTAAATTAAAATATTTTCATAAAGCATATGGGTTGGCCCATGGCATGACCCAAGGCACGACACTATATATAACGGGCTATGCCGTGGGTCTTCAAATTTTGTGGGCTGACACGACACGACAAGGCACGAAACTGTGTAGGCCTTGGCACGGCACGGCCCACGACACAATGAGCCTTGAATTTTTAGGTACAGCACGACTCACCGCCACCTCTAATCCTAATTAGTGATGGTAATGGGCCGGGCAAATACGAGTTTACACGATCGAGATAATGCTAAGGATTCTACTAGGGTGTAGAAAAAATCAATATTTTTATTTTTGAGCGACAAAAAATTGTTCAATGTCTCAAATGTCAATAATATTTTGAGAACCAAAATTTATTTAATTCAAATTATGGAAAAAGGTATTAAAAGAAAAATAAAGCTTATCCCCGCAACATTTTTACAATCTCTATTATATGTTCCACCATATCTGTGAAACAAAAACTGAAAAATCTTCTCCTGTTTGTTTAACTTTTTAACTATTATCTTATTTAAAGTAAACAGTAAAAAACGTGTTTGTTTTAATATTGACATAATTCAATTCAAAATTCAATTAGATTTGATTCAATTCAAAATATTTAACAGTTACTTTTTACAATAAATGTTTATAAATTAACAAAAACACTCTCACCCACTCAAACCACTGTCTACCACCAGCAACCACCGTAGGCCATTGGTGCCAGAACGATGCACGATCGATCGGATCTGGCCGATTGTTGTGCTGATTTGAGCATTTCTTGCTAGATGTGGCCGTTGACGATGACCATCAACAATGGTCAGATTCTAGTCATAGATCTGACCAATTCCAGTCATAGATCTGATCAATTCTAGTCAGATATATAGCGGATTTGACTGAAAAATGTCAGATCAGAGTATGATCGGCCAGATGCAGTCAATCGTATGCCATTCCGATAACTGCTAGCCACTGTCCGATAGTCGGCTAATAGAGGACACCAAATTATGACTATTTCGGTATAGGAACATGGAAGAAAATTACCTGGATTCATATCAGTAAGCCAATGACGATGGCTGAAGCCATCGGAAATCACTGAGCAGTAAACGAGGGCTAGCTTTATTAGAAAAGCAGGCCAGGGATGAAAGTGGCAAAGTTTCCTCCGTGGTAGGGCTAAATAAAATAGCTTTCCGCAGACAGCATGTAGGATAAGGTACGAACAAAACCTTCAAACTCGGCTTTTCATCAATATTGTCTGTTAGTGCCTGTGGTCCACAGACGACCCACGATGGCTTGACTTGGAGGAAACTATTGCAGTCAAGATGAAAACCGTGACTATTTTGCCCTAAAGAAGAAGATTATATTGAATTCAGTAATACAAGAAACTAAAACTGATGAGTATCTCCACTTTTTGCCAAATGTGTAGAGAATTTGCCTTTGCCCACCAATTAAGACGCTCAATAACTCCAGAAAAAGAGCAATCTTCTTAGTTTCAAATAAAACAAGGTGAGCATGAATTCCTGATGTGGGTTTACTAACAGATATCCACTTGCAAATTGTACAGTTTGTAACCTTGAGCAAACTACGGTATCCCCGAAGGATGTAAAGCTACTCAATTCATTCTCACTTGGCAACTACATTCAAGTTACAAGCAATTTTTCATTTGGTTCAATATACTCAGCCCATAATAGAGAACACTACGAAATTTCTATGAAGAAAATAGTTTTTCCAGTGTCCAGAGCTAGTTAGACTTGTAGGTTCATCTCTGAGTATTGACTCTGAAGACTCAAGTAGACCTAGATTTTGTAATTCCTCTTAATTTTTTTACAATCCCTATTATATGTTCCAATATATGAGTGCAGCAAGTAAAACTTATTCTTGCATGAGTACCTGCCAAGTGCCAACATAATCAAACTTGGTGAAAGAAACAACCTTCAGCTATAAACTCAGATCAACATAAGCAGAAATGAGAACTATCAGTATTCAGCTGCAACAAAAATATGAAAGGTGCATGCAGTCATCACAGAGAAAATTTGTTGATTGAGTCTGCTTTTGGGCTTAGGCCGTGCAAGTTTGCTTTTGGGCTTTACGCAAGCGTCATTCACCCAAAACACATCCACTTAAATTTTATAACTTGACTGAACAGAAATAAGAACTGGCAGAATTTTTTTTCAAAAAAAAGCAAAACTGAAAGGTGTAGGCATGAGGCATCAAACAGAGAAAATTTATAACTTGCTGGAACAGGTATTACTGTACATTACAAAATCTTGCACTAACTATAATCACCTATTCAACAATAACATACAAAAATCCCTTACAAAGCAAGGACCTCTAAGAAGTTGCCATTTTTCAATTGCTTCTTTACATGGTGATATCAAAGATACAATTGGAATTCATTACATGGGCATAAGCTTGTTGCTTAATATGCTACATCAATTCGAAATTTGTTTAATGGATTCCGCAGCTAACTGTTTCCTCGTATGGATACAAATAAGCCACAGGAATCACTGAGCATTAAATGAGGGCTAGCATTATTAGAGGAGTGGGCCAGGAATCAAAGTAGGACTGTTCACATTCAGTGAACTTTCCTGTGCTTAGAGTACGGCTAAAAAAAAAAAAAAAATTCCACGGACATGCAGCGTGTAGGAAGTTGTACAAAGTAGGAATAAAGCAAAAAGCAAACGCGTGTTTTCATCAATAATAATGTCTGCCACTACATCTTGTCCGCAGACGACCCAAGATGACTTGACTTGTCTTGGAAGAAATTATTGCGTACAGTGGCGGATTTAGCCCCAGTGAGGGCAGATTTAAAAAAAAATAATAGAAAAATTTACTAATGTAGAGGCCCCAGGAAAATTGTTAATTATTATATATATCTCGACTCAATCTCAAATTTAAAAGAAATGAAAGCTGTTATATTCATATAAAATTTGTTATTATTTTAAATCCACGTCATATTAAAAATTTAATATATATATTTTAAACCTATATTATATTAAAAGTAAAAAAAAAATTTTACTTTTTTCTTCATGTTATTTGCTTTTCAAATTTTTGAGAATCGAAATTATTAAATTTTTACTATTTAAAGTGTCATAATTAACTCCATTTTCTGTTTTATCAATTTTAGGTATATATATTGTTCATTTCAATTTAGTTTATTTTAAGATTAAATTTTTTTTTTAAAATTTTTTTATTCTGATTTGAGGGGAAATGACATTAATTTTGTGAGTTTATTTTCTATTTTGTGTCTAAGAATAAACATGCTTTCTCAAATTAAAACCTTGACTATATTTTAAAGGACATTATTCTTCACCTTTCACCAACTATTTTCCTACATTTCAAACGTCACCGTTCAGTTGCTCAAAATTATTAAAGAAATTTGAATTACTATATATGTTTAGACCAAGAAAATTCTCTATTTTTTATTAATTCATATTAAAAATCAACACAACGTTAACTTGATTTAAGTTTTGGTTAACTTTAGCTTAAATAGGTTAGGTTGATCAAAGTCATAAAAAATTATATTATAATCTTTGGAAGCCAAAATAGAAATATTAAAATAAAGTTTTGCTCAAGGTTTACTCAATACATTTATTTAAAATTTTACTCCTCATAGATTTATTCAAATAGGAAAATATTGTGTTATTGTACATTCTTTTCTCTCAAGTTTTTAATATTGTATTATTATTTTTTATTAAGGTTTGATGATTTTTTTTTAATTTTCATTAGTTGTTTCGCAAATAATGACGGAGCTATAGAGGTCCCCTTGGGAAAAAATTCTGGATCTGCCACTGATTGCGTATGATGAATACTAT